CTTGGGACAGTGTCTTCCAAGAGATTTCAGCGACGAATTGGTCAGCTGTATACCATGCAGATTGAGTGCGGTCAGATTGGGGCAATGTACTGCAAACGAAAGACACACACTGTAAGTCAACGTATCCCTGAATGCGTGTAAATCCATTTCGCGCAAATGTACGCCACACCGTTTGGCCAACGACTTAACCTAGAAAAAAAAACCGCTGCTTTTACGCTGAATTGATTGCTTGCTGTTTGCTTGTTTGTTGATTTTACTTGAGAAAATTACCACTGACTGAGTTTACTCGAATGAGGAAAGCAGAAAGACGAATGTAAAACGAACTGCTGAAACATACTGCCTTGTAACTCATATCGAAGAAAAAAAAACCTCGTTATTTCCAAGCACTGGGCGTTCAACGAAACACGGCAACGAACAGCTTTTCTCTCCAATCAGCGAAGAATACGAAACGGTGGTTGTGTCGTCCCAGGAATATTTGGCCAAATCTCGCCAGCGACGGCAAACTCGCTCGATCTTTAGACGATCCAAAATTGACAGCATTTTAAAAATAGAGATCTGAAATAGACATGCAGTTCAGAAATCTAAATGGGACAAAAACTATTCTAAATTAATCTTATGTATCTTTCGCTGCGCAAAAAAAAAAAAAGAATGGCTGGCTCGGCCAAACAAGAGGATATTACGAAGAGACTGAGCCCTTCCCAAGTGCTCTTTGGCGCAAGGACCTTGTAAAGCCAATGTCCCATCCAGGAGAAAAAAACAAGACTCTAGAACTACCAGCAGCAACTGACAACCAGGCGATGCAAAATCAGTCAAATCAAACAGAAAATTACCACTGCACAGTAGGAATAATAAACAGCAACGCGCACCATACTAGCCGGTGCGATCATGCGTTTGTGCAATTCAGCCCATCGAACGATTGTCTATTAATGATTTTCACTGCTTTGTAATTAAGTCTATGCAAAAATAGTTCAAACATTGAAAAACAGTTAAAAATTTCACGCACTAGCGCATGAAAGCTGAATTCGAAACCTTGAAGGATGAATATCTTTCCGTGTTCCCGAGCGCTGCTGATAAAGTGCTATCACTGAATACATCTTATGGGAGCCGAGATTGTTCCCACGCAAAGTGAAATTCCCTATTTTTCATGCGTCTTCTGCATCTATGCAATGCAGAAAAAGCGTACCGACGAAGGATTGTCTGTACGTGTCTGTGTGTGCGTCTATACTGATTTTTTATTTCAAGACCTGTAAAGGCTACGGGGCTGAAACTTTGGGAACTTAATCTACACGCATGTACGAGCCCCAATTCCTAAAATGAGCGCTCTTACCCATGTGGTACCCACGCACAGGCCCGCCAAATTTTTTGGCAGGCAAGCTTCTAATTCGGGAACCAGAAAAGCTAAAAGACTGGAATTTTAAGGGGAGGTCCCCTCTCCATGCAAGTACTAATGAGTCAATTCCAGCCCCCAGGTATGCACGGTTCCCAGGTACGGGCTCGTGAAAGTTTTTTGCGGGGAAATTGCTAACTCGGGAACCTAAAAAGCTGAAATTTTAATGGGATGCTTCCTAGCAGTTCTGGCGGCCAGTCTCAATTCTTTTAGCTTGAAGCATCTGCCGGAAAAAAGAGCGTCGTCAGCGACAAAAATTTACGGGGAACTATGCAAAAAAACGCATCTCTGCACCAGCAGACAACCTGGTCATTTATTATTACTTTTTCCAGTGCACATTCACCCCCTTATTCGGAAATAACGCTCATCGAAGTGCTGCAGAAACAGTCTATCTGTTCCTTCCCTGTTATAGAAGTCTTCTTTAGTGTCAAACGTAAAGACGCTCAAGGAACTCCATTTTTGCTAAAAAAAGCATCCTCGTCCCTTCCCCTCTCTCTCTCTTACCTCGTCTTAAAATACAATCATGACCATTTCCAATTATCTCGATTTTCAGCTCACGAAAGTTCTATGCTCTCAAACATACATCGGTTTCGCAAATCTAGTGCTGGTCTGGGTAAAAAACAAAACGCAACCAAAATATGCTCCGGAA